GCACGACGGTGCCTGCCGACCGCGGGGGTGGAGGCAGGCGGATGGGGCAGGGTAGGCCGGCGGTGCACGGCAGTGCCTGCCGGCCGCAGGGGTGGAGGCAGGCGGATGGGGCAGGGTAGGCCGGCGGCTGCAGAAAAGAGGTGGATCATATCGTGGGAGGAAGAAGGTGGAAGACGGCCTGTGAGCCGTTGGATGAATATCCGACGGACAGAAAAGAAGTAACCGACACTCGATGTATTTTGGGTACCTGCCTTTTAGTCGGTCCCTAGGATTTTATATATGTGTGAAAGTCGATTGATCACTTAACAATGAAGGTACGAAGCGAAACCCAGTACATGAACGTCTCCCTCGTTTGTAACTTGTGACCAGCAATCCAAGTCTGCCGTATTTGCCTAAAGTTGAAACAATTGAGCACATGGATCTACCTTCATATGCAGGGAGCTTTGCTCTGCCTTGTGGTAAGTTGTCAAGAAGCTGCCGAGTAATTGCCGTGTGCGTGGTTGTAGAGTCCAAATTCGATGCTCTTTTTTCCAGAACGAGATATTGCTCCCACGCTTAGTATGTTTTACACAGCTACACCTACATGCGTGCGGCGCAAAGACGGTTTATAGACGTGGATTAATTGTAGCTGTGGTGTACTAGTGATTGAAGTAAAAGGTGTGAACGAGTGGTTGGAGGCATCGGTGTCACATGCTATATATGCTCATGTAATGAATCGGCCCCAGAGCCAAGCAAGGAAAGAACTCACCGCGGAGCAAGGATGCGATACTGTGATCATGTGAGCACGCGGTGGCATGTGATGTGACCTTGGCAGCAGCGAATAAACGCCCTCCTCATCTTCCATAGCCCGTTTTGGCATGAGATAATGGCGCACCATCCACCACCATGTACCTGCTTCCGTGTTATCTCCCGGCCGGGACGTCGCATTCAACATAGCTTTTCTGCTTCCGGTTACGCCTGTGAGAAGCCGCGCGTTGCATCCAAATGTTCTCCATGCGTCGCTGGCACGCACATCTCATTTCATTTACACTTTACAGGTCAATGCAGTCCATGCACGCATTGTTAGCGCTCCTACGTAGAGGGCATGGAAGTAACATTTGTGATGTCGTGTGCACTATTGTGGCAATCGAGGCATCACAATGTGCTGTTCGATCTTAATTAGGAAGGAATAACGTCGTTTCCTAAACCCAAAACCGAAAACCCTAAAGTAACCTTGTATCAAGACACACCGACAAAGTTGTTGTGGCGATCGACGGCTGGACGGCATCAAGTTACGAGGAAGATGAAACGCGCTTGGGTAGGGCTCTGCCTTGCTCGCTTCCATATCCCCCTACCCTATGGGCGATCGACACGTATAGAGCCCTCGTCTTTAGTCCTTCCTTCCTCGCTCCGTTCCGGACCATGGAGCTCCTACCTCGCCATTCCTATGCCTGACCGCCTCCTTCACCGTGTATAAATACTCCACCCTCGCGGCCACACCCCCTGCACTGCACTGCAACTACCAGCCATAGCCAGAAGGCACTCAGCAACTCCCCTCCCTCGCGCTCTCTTGGGAGAAAGGTGTGGCAGCCGCGATGGCCGCACCTTTTCTGCTCGTTCTTCTGCTCGTCGTTTCTGGAGGCGCTGCAGCGGGCGGCGACGGCGAGGCAGGGCTGACCCGGCTCGCGCTCCGAGGCATCGACGACCCGGGCCGTAGGCACGGGCCCTTCGCGCTGGAGGAGCCGGAGTTCATGCCCGAGATCTCCACGCACGACGACGAGGCGGGCGAAGCTCCCCGGCTTGAGTTCCGAGGCATCGACGACTCAGGCCGTGGGCACGCGTCCGACGCGCCGGACGAGCCGGTGTTCATGGCCCACCTCGACGACGAGCCGGGCGAAGCGCCCCGGCTCAAGTTCCGGGGCATCGACGGCTCGGGCATAGACGAGGAGCCTGTGCTCATGGACGACGACGAAGCGCCCGGGCTCGAGTTCCGAGGCATCGACGACTCCGGCCATGGGCGCGCATCCGACGCGCCGGAGGAGCGGGCGTTCACGGACGTTATCTCCACGGGCGGCGCCTGCGACCACTTCGCCCGCCTCGTCGCCGAGACGGGGAACGCGACCCAGCTCTTCTGGGAGCGCGCCGCGGGCGCCGGCGGCCTCACGGTGTTCTGCCCCGAAGACAAAGCCCTGGCCGAGTTCGAGCCGAAGTTCCGAAGCCTCGGCGCCGACGACCGGCTCGCCGTCCTGCTGTACCACGGCGCGGCGACCACCTACGGCAGGAAGTTGTTCCAGGCGTTCGACTGGGTGTCGGTGAGCTCGCTGGCCACCGACGCGGCCACCAACAAGAGCCACGCCATCACCGTCCGCGACGACGGGGACACGGTGTGGCTGTGGCCGTCGTGCAGGAGTGGCGCTGGGGCCAGGGTGACCAAGACGGTGTCCGAAGAAGCTCCCCTCGCCGTCTACGTCGTCGACGCCGTGCTGCTGCCGAACTACCTGCGACAGAAGCTGGATGGCGGCGACGGGCCGGCTGCTGCGTGCGAGCCGTCCGGTGGCTATTTCGGCTGGCTGCACTGCTGCATCCCGGTCTGGGAAGTGATAGTCATGGCCGTGGCGAGCATCGCGGGCTTCCTGGCCGGGTTTCTTCTTCATGATGCAGTCGACAAGATGAGCAACAAGGCCAATTTATCTGGTTAAGTTTATCTGGTTACACTAGTAGTGAATAATGCTCTAGAATTATGGTTGTGGTGTTTAGCTCAGCATATATATTGCTGAAGCATGTCGATCGATCGCCTGTCGTACGTGGCATGGCACGTACTCTTCTGCCGGAGTTAAGTACGTGTGAGTTCCTGTGTTTGGTTCATGTGCTACAGCTTAATTTGCGTAGCATGATTTAGTGTGGCATTTACGTCGTCTTTGACGTTTTCTCCCTAGAAATGGAGCTTGCATGTGCGTGTCCATCTGGCCTCTTCTCGAGAACCAGTGCACCACACTGTGACAATACACTCGGTCACGGATCCAAATTTGAATGCACAAATGCAAGTCCCCTCAATCAAACCTCATAAAATTCAAATACAAAGCTACTAGATGCACTCAAAAGTCTTTTTCCCCCCGAAAAAAGATGCACTCAAAAGTTAATCTAAGTAATGGTTAAAAGTAGTTTAAGATTCTCCAAACCTATGTGATGTAACCTCCAAAACACATGAAATACTAGAAACAGGGTCGTGGAATGGTTAGGTTACTTAGACGCTCGATTGGCCTCTAGGTTGTTTTTCGCTCAAGTGCTAGCCCATTTAAATGGACGGTTTTCCAGGACCTTCACGTTGTTGGTCTCCTCTCGTCCCTGATACAAGGACCTATCACCGTCTCCTCGTCCAAAATGAATCGGGGTTCGGGTAGGGGCTCAACGATCACATCACACAACTACCTGGGCGGCCGCCCATACCTTCTCCTATGGTATCGCCATCCGTGGATAGACTGTAAAAGTTTTTAAAAGAAATTATCACGTACATATAGTTGCCCCGTAGTAAAATGTCAGATTCAAATCCAACCTACAACTCAAGCAAAAAAAAAAAGGAAGAAGGTCAAATCATGCTATGAATAATAGTTATTTGAAGTTGGGCTACGAATTTCGCGCCATAGACATGATCAATCCTAAATTACTGATTTTGTTTGTCAAGTTGGACTTGAGTTATTTCTGACACTATAGTGTATATTATGAGTATGTCATAATTTTTTTTCCGGACATCTTCATCGGTCGTTGATGCACCGGTTGCACTGCAACTACGCGTGCACCAGATGCATTCTCCTCTAATCTATTCATTCACCTCAAGTAAGTATTTTCTAAAGTGTACATTGTCTATCGAGAAAGATTCACCGTTACTCATCTCATCTAGAGCGTTGTATTTAGATTTTTGTGTGTCGCAAGTATCATGTAAGGAAAGAGCAGATATGAGACGTCGTGGTCCCCATTTCCTACCTACCCAATACAAAATTTTGGCCTCCGTCCACCTACCTATGATATTCTCTCTACCCTCCCCCACCCAACAATTTCTAGATCTGGCGATGGCCGAAGAGGCAGGTGCTCATTTCCTTGCCATCTAGGTGCAAGCGAGGGCCGGCTTGGTGGCATGAGAAGGTGGCCGAGCAAAGGAAGAGGAGGTCGCATGCACGGCTAATGTAGGTGCCAGTGTATGAAGGCGGCAAGATCGGCACCGGAACGGATATGTGGTGATGTGGCGGCCTCGCCGGTATGACCTTGCCAATGACATGCGAGAAGTCTTCGTGCACGAGCCCCTTAGACCAACGTCTGGGAACCAGAACGGTCACCGTTGAACCCTTGAATTGATCGAAGAAATTGACATAAAATCTGGCCGTCTCATACACACAGTGAGAAACCCTAAACTCGTCGTCCTTAAGAGCCGATGAAAATTTACACCGGAACTCTGTCTAATACACCCCGATGAGCGAAGTCAAAGAGGATCAAAGCCTGAAAGACGAACCTCGAAGATTAAGCGTCGTCATCCGCCCGAGCGCCGCTCCTTTGAGGATTAAAATCCTAATTCCTATCTACTAGTTAGAGCCGAGGTACACATAGTCGCCACCGGCCAGAGCCAGCCGTTGATCCATGACAAATTGTGGGGTGGGGGAGGGTACAAGTGCAGTGAGGAGGCAAATCCACGGACTCAGTTCCCCCTGTTTATTATATGTTTGATGCTCTCTTCTAACTCTGAAACATCTGGTCACCATTTTATCATAGATTGAGCTAACAGAAGTTCATTCGCTACCGTAGATTCTAAGTGTCCATGCCTAGTGGTGGATCACTTCACCGAGGAAATCTGAAAATTGTCACTCGATCATTGTGCAGAATTTCTAGAGAAAAATGAAATAATGAATCAGCCTCAAACTTTTCTGAAAAAATCGTGTTGCTTGCATGGGACGCTGGCTGCACAAAGGTAAAAATATATGAATCGGCCTCCACGGCTTTGCTTCGTGGTAAAGGAAACTGCGGAGCCGTTGCCGTGCTTCAGAAATATCAACGAGCCAAAACGATGAACAAGGTAATAACTGACATTGACTGCCATATCTTCACACAATTAAACCGTGTGCAGCTCACAAATTATATAGTGGGCATGGCAGAAACAATAGCGAAAGGTGAGAACAAAGACGGCACACGGCAGTGGTCATAGCTAGATTTGTTCTACGGGCTAGTCCAGCCCATTAAGAGGTAAATACACCGGGAGTCATAGAATTTGCAGGCAATGTGCAGTTTGGTGCACAAACTTGCAAAATACGTGTTTCTAGTCATCGAACTTGCACGGACGTTCATATACGGTCACATTTCATGTAAATACGGACCGAAAAGCCCTTATTTTCTCTTATTTATGTATTAATAAGCCCATAAAATAAAATTATTAAATAGCAAGGGACAATGGGGTTTTGAACTCAAGACCTGCCGCTGGTTGGGGCGTGTGGACAACCACCAGAACAATGATCATTTACACTTGAACAAAGCTATCAACATCTGCTATATATCATATAAACACGGACCGAAATTAAATTTAAAAGGAAATGTAACCCAAAAAAATGGAGCACCATGTCTCGACTATCTAACCTCATGGACAACGTTGACTAAGATTACCACCGGGTTACAACAACACAACATGTATAGAAGGGATAAACATTTTTCATGTTGTTATTCCTTCTTGTTCTATGTAAGAAAACAACTTTATATTCTTGTGTTTGTGACATTTAAAAAATGTTTATATGTTACAAAAAAAGATACGTGACATTTTTAAAATTGTTTAAACATTGTAAAATTTTATGGACTTAAAAAACATACGTTGCATTTTAAAAATGTTCACACATTTCAAAAAACTGAATATGACATTTTTAAAAATGTGCATACAATGTACAAACATGTTTTCATAGCTGAAAAATGTTTCGTACAATGCAAAAATATTTAACATGTAGTATTTTAAAAAAAGCTTCAAAACTTGTATTTTAGAAAATGTTAATAATATGTTTAAAAGTATATTGAATGTGTATAAAAATGTTTTTAATTGTATACAGGAAATACATACACGTCAGAACATAAAAGTTTAATTATGTTTAACATTTTCCAAACACATGATTAGCATTTTTAAAATATTTTCTTGTGTCTATTTTTCCAGTATAATCTTAAAACATTTTTATACATGTTTAATATTTTTTAAACATATGATTAAGATTTTATCAAATACGAGTTTCAGAATCTTTTTCGAAATACATGTTAAACATTTTTGGATCGTACCAAACATTTTGTAAACTACATGAATATTTTTGTACATTGTATAAATATTTTTAAAATTGTTATGATTTTTTTTTCTAAAATGCATGAAAAAAATATTAAATGCAACTTATGTTTTTGTAATTAGACACATATGTTTTACAATATTTTACATTCTTTTAAATGTCATGTACCTTTTGTGTAACACATAATCATTTTTAAATATCAGAAACACAAGAATATAAGTTGTGTTCTTACATAGAACAAGAAGGAATAAAAACATGAAAAATGTTTATCTCTTCTGAACATTTTCTGTTATAGTAGCCTGATGGTAATCTTAGTTAACATTGAGCATGAGATCACATGGTCGAGCCACGTTGCGCTCTTTCTTCAGGTTGCATTTCTTTAAAAAAAAATCGGTATGTGTTTATATGATATATAAACTAGTAGTGATTTCCAAACTTGAATGATCATCCGGTATGGTGGTTGTCCACACAATCCTGGTGGTGGCAGTCCACGTGTTCAAAACCCGTCATCTCCTTATTTTTTATCATTTTATTTTAGGAGCTTAATAAATAAAAACTTTTATGCAAATCTACCTTGTGAGAGCGGCCCACAGCGAGCCCTGGCATGCCATGTAGGCCATGGATACATGTCTCGAAAAA